AGGAAAAAAAAAACCCTGGAAAGAGCTATCATATGTTTTCTTAAGCTCTTTTGCCCTTTGTTAAGTAGGTGTTAAGATATGTACATTATGTACATTATCTCAAATAATACTCACTTAACCCTAGAGGAAGGCATTTTATCTCTAGTCTTCAGAGGAGGAACTAGTCTTAAAGAAATTAAGCAACTGCTGATTATAACAGAGCAGGGATTTAACCCTGCACTCTAATTCCAAAGAACATGTGAACTTCTGCTTTGAAGTATGTAAAAAATAAAATCTCAAACTTTTAGCAGAGTGTGCACATCCTTTGACAAGGAATGAACTTGATTTCTTTTTCATAAAAGGAAAAGATTAGGACTTGTGAAAGACTGGTGGGGAAGAATTTATTGGCAACTCTCAAATAAAGGCAATACCAAATTTTATCTAGTTCTATTTGAAAAAAGAAAACAACAAATTCATTCTGGAAAGGGAAAGTAATTAAAACTTTTTCATGGATACTGGTATACTCCTACAAAGCTTTTGCTATTGTTCCCATAACGTACTTTCAAGACAAGTCAAGTACTAATGTTCCAGCTAGAGAAAATTGGTGGGAATCGGTCAGTCAATGCTGGAAAAATATTCCCCTTAGATGCAGATTATTGCAGCAATGCAAATGAGGAGGATCCTGTGTGCCACTTCCAAGCCCCTATACCTTTGTTGTGTGTATAAATTGCTTCAAGAACAGCTGGACTCCCTAGAGCCAATGATCACATCAGGGGTCAATGAAGTCTTCGGAGAAACTACACTATAGGAAAGACACAAGATCCTGTCACAACACGTATAGAAGGGTCTGGGTGTTTTCTAGTCACACACAGCGTAAATAGGAGTTTAGAAGAGGAGAGGGTACTAATATGATGCTACATATTTCTTACAACCATAAAAACTGCCAAAAATATACAGATTGTCCCTTCCTTCCTTCCTCCCTCCTTCCTTCCTTCCATCCTTCCATCTATCCAATTGATATAGCATTAGTTTGGGGAATCCAACTCTTTTGCAAAATATTGCTTTATTCTCAAAATGTGAGAGAGAATATATTAGCATAATAAAGGACAAAGGAAAAGACAAATTTCTGACACATCAGTGTAATATGAATTTTTCCTCAGTCAAGATCATACCTAGTTTATTACAAGTTGCCTTGCTAAACACTAAATTCCACAGATAGGAAGCTTGGTTAGTGTTAATTTTCTACTCTGTATTTGTAGTCCTTCAAAAAATAAGAGGAAAAGAGAAAAAAGAAAGGAAGATGATCTCATGCAGGAAATTGTTTACACTGGGGATAGAGAACCAAAAATATATAGGGAATGATGAGGCTGTCCCCAGGTTAATAACTACAGGAAATGGCTGCCTTTTCCCCTAATATTGGGGAAAACAAATGGAAGAGTGGGCTTACCAGAACCATAGGTCCTGTAGGGCTAATGTTTGAACTTATGGAGAAAAGATCTGTGCAGGGGGTATCATGTGTCTGACATTCAGATCTCTCGGGACGGGGCACTCAAGGTGTAACCCAATTTCAAAGTCCAAACTTCTACCAATAGCCCTTTGAGGATAGCAATAGGAGACATGAAGGAATAGATATAAAACTTGGAGTTGCAGACGGATGCTCCCTTTGAGGTAGGATACAGCTGACTTTGTCAGAAACTAAACACTTTTGTTCCTTCCCTCTGATTTCCATCTCCTTCTCTGGCTCCTGAGGGCAAAAATCAAAGTTAAATTAGCTAATAACACTACGCAGGAAATGCAGGTTTCAGCATTCTCAAGCCAGCAACTCTGCACAAAGTGTGGGACAGTGTGTTTAGAGACTAAATCTAACTATGGCACGAGGTACTCAGCCAAGCCAGTGAGAGGAAAGTGAAAATTCAGAGGGCCCTAAGAGGCAAAATTGAAGAGTATTTGCGAGCGTATATTTATATGTTATAACATTGTAATCAATATCACAGAAAAGTCTATGAAGTCAAGCTCTCTTTCCAAACCAAACCAATTTCCTCACTTTGTTAATAATAATACATATCCTTAACTTCTGTGTGTGTAGTAGTAGTAGTAGTAGAAGGAGGAGGAGGAGTTGTGGAGATAGAACTAAGGGCCTTACCCATGCTAGGCAAGGGCTCTAAGACTGAGCTATCACTGTGGCCATCTGTGTGCTAGATGGTCACGGGGTCCTGTAGCTGCTCAGCTCAAGAAGTTTGAAGCCACAGAACAAGAGAGATCGAGAAATCAGCACCAGACTGAAATAGAAGGCCTAGAAGCTGTCTAGAGAGTTAATGGTCTGAGTCTGCTGCATCAGAAGCCGGGAGAGACTACAGTGTGAGGTCTACACGTGACATCAGTGCAAAAGATGTGGCAGCACTAGGAGAGTGAAGATTCAGGAAAAACCCTGCAGACTTCCTTTCTTTCCTTTTCATTCCACTCAAGCTGTAAGCCCATTGGATGTTGCCAGGTACAGTTAAGGTTGATATTTCCCTCTTGGTTTGTTGGCCTCCTATCAATCATCTCTGGAAACACCCCAGACACACAAAGAAGTGTGCTTTATTAAATAGCAAATCGTATTTTAATCTAGTCAAGTTGACATCTGATTAATGGTCACAGTTATGCATAACTGGCACTATACACAGGTAACTGCACATTCCATTTTGTCCTTCTCCCTGTTCCTGGAAATTACCATTCTACTTTATGATTTACTAAGTTTGACTGTTTAGATATCACTTGTAAATAAGATCATGTAGCATCTGTCCTTCTGTAACTAGCTCATTTCACTTAGCTCAGTATCCTCAACTTCCTCCAGGTTGTTGCATATGACAAGATTTCTGTTGTTTTCAAGGGTAACTCAAAATTTCATATACCAAATTTTCTTTATCCATCCATTCATTCATCATAAATGGATATTTACATTGTTTTTCCATCTTGACTACTGCGAATAATAGAGAAATGAACATGGAAGGCCAAACTATCTCTTTGATCCTGATTTCAAACCTTTTAGATAATTTCTCAGATGTGGAAACAGTGACTCATGTGATAATTCTATTTTATTATATTTTTGAGAAATTATTTCTGCTGTCATAGCAGTTACACCAGAACACAACGGTGCCAGTGTCCACATCTGCATCAATACCTGTTATTTTCTGCTTAGTTTTTGTTTTGTTTTACTTTAAATAAAGGCATTCTAACAGGCATGAGGTGATATCACAATGTAGTTTTGATTTGGCTATGCCTGATGAATAATGTTGAGGATCTTTTTTTTTATATTTTTCGTCATTTACCTGTCATCTTTAGAGGAATGCCTAGCAAAGGTTCTTTTTGTTTGTTTGTTTGTTTGTTTTTCTGGTACTGGGAATCAAACTCATGACCTTTCCCTTGCCAGGCAGGTGCTGTGCCCCTGAGCTAAATCCCTAGCCTCCTTTTCCCCCATTTTTGAATTAGGTTATTTGTTTTGGTTATATTAAGATATAAGAGTTACATATTATGGCTGTTAAACACTTTATCAAATATGTGATTTGTAAGCATGTTCTCCCATTTTATGGTTGCCGTTCACCCTACACGTTGTTATCTTTATCATGCAGATTTCTACTTTGATGGTGTTTACTCCTCTATTTTGCTTTTTTTGCTGGTGCCTCTATCTTTATATCCAAAATATCTTACCAAGAACAATGTCAGGAAATTATTCCTCTAGATTTTTGTCTCAGAATTGTACAGTTGCTGACCTTATATTTGAATTTTAATCCATTGTGTATAGCATAAGAGTAAGAACAGATTTCATTCTTTTGTAAGTGGATGAGTAGTTTTTCCAAAACTACTCAGAAGACTTTCCCTTTTCCATTGTGCAGTCAGTGCTCTTATTGAAGACTGGCTGACTGTATTTATATGTACAGTTTTATTTCTTGATGCTCTGCTCTGTCCCATTGGTCTATTTCTCCTGTTATGCCAATAAAATGCTGTTTTGAGTAATGTAATTTGTAATACTTGTTGGTGTTAGGAAATGGAAGGCCACTAGTTTTCCTTTTCTTAAGATTATTTTGGGTATTTGTGGTCTTTTGGAGTTGTATACTAGCTTTAGAATTACTTTTCCCATTTTTGCAAAAAAATTGAGATTTTGATAAGTAATCTGTAGATTATTTGGGAGTACTATGGACATTTTAACAATATTAAATCTTCCAATCCATGAACACAAATGTGTTTCCATTTATTTTTGTCTTTTTAACTTTAACTTTTATGATCAAGGTTTCTTAAATTTTAAATGTTTAAACTTTTCACCTCTTTCTTTAAATTTATTCCTGGATATTTTATTCATTTTGATCTTATACTAAATAGAATTTTGAAATTGCTCATTTTCAGCCTACTGAAATAAAAACATTATCTATATATTGATTTTTCATTCTGTAATTTTCCTGAGTTTTCTCGTTAGTGTTAACAGTTTTTGGTGTAGTCTATTTTCTACACACAAGATTGGGTTATCTATAAGTAGGTTCTTTGATTTCTGATTTCTTTCCTGATTTGAATATCTTTTATTCCTTTTTATTGCCTGATATCTTTGTTTAGAACCTCTAATAATATGTTGAATAGAAGTACATACTACCAAGAGGGACATCCTTATCTTGTTCCTGGCCTTAAAGTAAAAGCTTCCAGTTGTCCAGTGTTGAGCCTGATGGAGGATGACAGCTTTTGACATGCGGTCTTCTTTGCTGAGCCTATTTCCTTCTACTTCTAGTATGACAATTTTTCAATGGTGTTGAATTTTGTAAAGTCTTTTTGCCCTCATCTACGTAGGTGATCATTCTGATGTGCTGTTGAATCACTTTTGTGAGTACTTTATTATGAGTTTTTGCACTGATGTTTACCATAGATACTGTCCTACAGTGTCTTTTTATGTAATGTCTTTTACTGGCTTTGTCATTAGAATTTGTGGTTCTCTCCTCTTGAGCTATTTAAAAGAATTTGAGGTGTGTGTGTGTGTCCTGTTGCTGAGATAAAAATGTTTGTCACTTGTAATTTAAAAGAGAAGAGGGTTATTTTGGCTCACAGTTTCGAACATTTCAGTCCATGAGTGCCTGGTTTGAAGGCAGAAACATGACGGTAGAAGGGCAAGGCAGAGGAAATCTGTTCACCTGCTGGCATCCAGGAAGCACAGAGCACAGGAAGGTCGAGAGATTAAGAGACCAGGGATCAGATGTGGTTCTCTGTGTAATACCCTCAAGACCCACAGAACTGGCACAGAATTGTGTTTATTAATCACCTGTCTCTTGATTCAATCAAGTTGACAAAATGAACCATACAGTATAATTCTTCAAATATTTGGTTGAATTCACCAGTGAAGCCATCCGGTCCTGAGCTTGGCTTTTGAGGAAGGTATTAATTACTTGTTTAATCTCCCTTCTAGTTATATTGTTATTTCCTCATGATTTAGTCATGGTGTTTTGATATTTATCCACTTCTTCTATATTATCAAATTTAATTCATTTCATTTCTGTGGCATTAATTGTGATACCTCCTTTTTCAGTTTTCATTTTAATTATACTCATAAATTTTTTAATGACAGGGATATGTTTTGTCAAATATGTCATTCTATGATTTTGTCATTGTGCAAATAATATAAAGTGCACTTAACATAAACCTAGATTGTAGGTCTTATTATACTCAGGCTATATACTGTAGCCTATCATTCTATACATCAACACTATATAGGCCTGCTATGTATTCAATGCCACTAAAAGTTGTAAAACAAGGGTAAATATTCGCATATGTGAACATAGAAAAGGGTACAATAAAGGTATGATTGCAAAGGTAAAAATAGTTAACCTGTCATGAGGATTAGCCACCAATGCAACCCAGAGGGCAAGAAGTTGCTCCAGATGAATCAGTGAGTACATGTGAAGGTCAAGGACATGACCTTATGCTACTTAGAGTAAATACAAATGGTACATTTGGGTGACATTAAAATTGTAACAATTTTTTGTTTCCTCAATAAGAGATTACCTTTGGTTCACTGTAACTTTTAAAATTTGCAAACATTTGAAATGAACTGTTTTCCTCTTATAATAATACCTCTTTTAAATCATAAGCACACTGCACAGCTGTACAAAAAATATTTTCTTTCTATTCTTATTCTACAAATTTTGCTATTTTTAAGTTTTTATTAGTTCTTCCTATTGAAACATTGTGAAAACTAGGAGGCAAACATAGAAAGTAGTCTAGGCCTCTACAGGGTCAGGACCATCAACATAACTGTCTTCCACCAGCACATCTTGTCCCACTGGAAGTTCTTCAGGGCTGTAGCACTCATGGAACTGTAGTCTTTTGGAATCTCTCCTAAAGGACTTGATTGAGGCTGTTTTATCATTAACTCTTTTTAGTAAGTAGGAGTGCATTCTAGAATAATGATAAAAATATACTACAGTAAGTACATAAAACAAAAACACAATGCTATTCTCCCTATCTAGCCTTCTGTACTATGCATTATTTCATCTGTTATACTTTTCTATGACTAGCAGATCGTTGCTTTAGCTTACACTGAAATCATAACACACACAGGACTAACGCATTGTGCTACAGCGTTATAATGGCTGCTTTGGCTGTGATGTCACCACAGGCTGGGAATATTTTAGGTCCACTGCTACTATTATGAGACAACTGTGGGTCATTGAAACATGATTAGGTTATGAATAATTGTATTTAGATCTTCTGTCTTTGTTTTCAGTCTGTCTAAATATGTGTCAATTTTGTTGATCTTTTAAAAATTGTCTATTTTATTGACTTTTTTTCTTTTCTGAATTTTCTATTTGGTTATCTTTGTTTTAATCTTTACTACTTCTTTCTTTCTTGTAACTATGGGTTTAGTTTGTACTTGTCTCTTGAGTATAAAGTTAGGCTGCTCTCTGGGATCCTTTATAACAGAAGTGTTTCACATTACAAGCTCCCCTTTAGTACTGCTCTGGTGCACCTTTTTGTATATTGTGTTTTCTTTCTTGTTTGTTTCAAGATAAAATTCATTTTCCCCTTAAATTTTTTCCATGGCCCATTTTTTTGTTAATGATTGCATTGTTTTATTATTATGTTTGTGAATTTTCCAGGTTTCTTCCTACTGTTTGATTCATAGTTTCACTACACTGTAGCCAAACAATTATACTTGGTATGATTTCAATTTTATAAAATGTAAGACGTTTTATGACCTAATGGATGATATTTCTTGGAGAATAAGACCAAGAAAGTTCCTATTATTGACATTCTGCTAATTATTTTATGTTTGTCTCATACCTCTTTTTTTATTCACTTCCAGTTTTGTGGGCTGGGGATATAGCCCAGTGGCACAGTGCCTGCCTGGCAAGTGTGTGGTCCTGAGTTCAGTTACTGGTACCAAAAAAAAAAAAAAATCCAGTTTTGCTTT